CAGCTTGTAACGTATGGCTAGCGTAAAGGGCAGATATGGGGTATTATGTGACTTAATTTACCCTAAGCACATAGTCAATCTAGGACCTATTTAGAACTTTATTTTCGTTCACCCGGTGCACTCCCTTTACATCAACTTTTTCATTTGTTCAACATTTCATTCTTTTTCTTATTTTTCTTCCCTTTTTTTCTTTTTCTGAATTTTCACATCCTCAAACTTATTTCTTTTATTGGGTAGTGAGATAAATATAATCATGTTTTTGAACTGTTAATCACTTTTCATCTTTACTACTTTTCTTTTAACTAAGTCATTATATTTCCTAAATTAACTTACACACTTAAGAGTAAAAGATGCAAAAATTGGAACTTTTAATGAAAGGATCTATGCTAAAAGTGAAGTGTTTAAACAAAGAAAATGTTGCATTAGGCTCAATAGGGTATTCTAGGGATAAATATAAAGTAAGGTGGCGCGAAAGGCTCAATTGGTCCAAGGATGGCCTAAGCCATTTCCTTAACTAAGAATAGTCTAGGATTTCAGCTCAAGAGAAACTCAAACAAATTCTACATAAATCTTCCATACATATACACAATAATCCAATGTAAAAGATATAGTGCTCAAATTGTGGAAAATCTCATCCTACAATGATGCCTATCATGGGAGTTCAACATAATACTCAAATAATATTTATATCTACTCAGAGAAAAGGATAACAAGAAAATTGAAATTCATCATTGGATAGGTAAATCAAATAAATTGGCTCAACTCTAGTTGAAAATCTTAAAATGTGGAGAAAATGAAATGATGAACAACTTAACTAAACTTAAAGTCTAAAAACATAACCGTTGATGGAAGAAAACAAAGCCTAAAAACTAAAAGTTCCCCCCCCCCCCCCCCCCCCCCCTCCCAAACTTAGAATTAACATTGTCCTTAATATTAAAAAGTAAAGAAGAAAAATCAAGAATAGTCCCCTGGATAGCAGAGATCGTCTCATTTTCCTTTTTATCCTTATTATATCCAAAGTTGCTGGGAAGATCCATTAAGGTGACAAAAATATATATAAGAAAAAGAATAAAAACAAATTAATTGGAAAATATATAAAAAATTAACTTCAAATAAAAAGAGTAAGAGTTTCAAAAACTTGGGTTGCTTCCCAAGAAGTGCTCTTGTCTGGTCATTAGCTTGATTATGGCTATCACATCCTATTTTTGGAGGGATCATGACCGACGCATGGACCGAGATGAGCATAACTCGTTAAGCCCAAGCAAACCTCTTATCATAGCATCATCAAATATTCATATAACATCCATTAACATATGGTATGCAATCATAATACTCACATTCAAAAAACTCATTATACAATTAAGGAACTTCTCAACTTAATTGTGTAAGCTGAAGCATTTGGTATACATACATATATATATATATATATATATATGAAAAGAGCTACTATCATGGTACACATTAACATTTGCTATCAACAACACCTTGGGTGTCCATGTAAGCTTTCAAGCCATAATCATAATCTCATACATAACATTATCAATGTAAAATGCCTAACATTGACAACATTAAGATAAATGTGTTCATAGTCTGCAAACACAAACACAAAGTAAAAGATAGATTCATCAACAGAATATGACTGACCCTTTAGGAATCAACTGGCTACAAGACACCTACCAAAATATGAAGACTAGACATTGGCTGTTATTAGATGCTATCACTAATCTAAAACAAAATAAATAGGAAAAATAATATGTGAGTCACAAAAACTCCATGAGTGGATATGGGAAGGGGAGAAGCCAGGGGATAAGAGTAGTTTGTAACCATGCATCTGTAAAGTCATGCCATTCATAACTTTGTAATCATAAAGTTCATGATACATGTCATTTAAACTTGTTTAACTACCTTTCATTGGAAAACAAACTCATATAAACCTTTGGAGACCTTTTACCTTTAAAATTCTCATCAAATGTTCTCAAACAACCTTTCTTGTACCAAATCTATCTATACATTCTTAAATGTATTGATACTTTCAAGCATCTATTGATATATTGGTAAAATGTATTATACATTTCACATAGAAAGCCTCCTTAAGCATTCTGTTTATAATGTATCGATATTTAACCCATATGTATCGATACTTTCAACCTAGAACCAAAATTTCTGGGCAAAATCCCCCTTTTTACCTTTCCTTAAATTCCCCTACCTCTTGGGACTCTCTTTAAGGTTCAGTCTTCTGCACTAATCAATTTTCATATCATCATAGAGTACAAATCATGAAAAATGCTCAAAAAACATTAGTATAAAACATGCCATAAACATAATAATTATGATCATTCCATTAACGTTAAACTCCTACTTTCTGATGGTATGTCCCTGATAACTCTATTATATAGAGTTATTTTGACTCATTTTGGGAGCTTAAGTAGCTAGATCTTTGAGATTTTATGTTCGAATTTTAGCATTATAGGTGTTTTTTTAGTTTAAGTTTGATTATTTGTTAAGTGATTAATTTAAGTTATTTAGTTAAATTTTAGGTTATTTTATTTAAATTACTTTAAGAGTAGTTATTGCTAATTTCTCCTATGCTTTTGTAGGAAATTGATGAAAAAGACTCATTTGATGAAAATCAGTGCAAGTATGGTGATAGTTCATTCGTATATGTTTCAATATTTTGACCATATCTCTTTCTAAAAAACTCCAAATGAGGTGATTCTTGACCAATCAAATTATAAAAAGAAGGGAAACAATTTTTATGTTCACCAATTGGCCCAGTTATGATTGGATCATGGTCAAAATATTTGTCAATTCGACCACTGCAGCAGGATGTAAAGACTGAACATGATGCAGTATTTGGAGCAAATCTCAATCCGAAGTCCAATTGATGCGATTTTTATCCACTGGAAAGTTAAGAGACAGGAATAAAACTTTTATGTTTACTACTTTGCCCAGTTCTTAACATATCAGGGTGAAACTCATGTTTGAAGTTGATAGACTGCCACAGCGCTGGGAGAACAAGGCTGCAGCGTTGATGAAAGGAAGCACACATACAAAATTCCAGAGAGCTCAGGCTGCAGCGCTGGAGAAGTAGCGCCGCAGCGCTGCGCGACTTCCTCAAATAAATGGACATTAACGGAATTTGCAAAATTAGGTTATTTGGAGCCTATTTAAGGAGACTTTTCAGAGATTTTTGAGGCAGCAAGAGAGGCAAAGGAGGCAGCAAGAAACTATTCTGGAGATTTGGAGCCAAGAACAAAGCAAGGAAACAAGAGAATTGGAGAGAGAATCAAGATCATAAATCTCTAATTATTAGTTTTCTCTCTCTTACCTTTGTGTTTTTCTTATTTTCTTTGACTTGGATTCATGGCTAAATTTCTTTGGATATTGTCTTATTAGATATTATGAACTAATTTATTTTTCTAGATTGCAATTGAACTCACATGTAATCTAGATTTTAATCACTTTCTTGCTTATTTTCAATGGGATTTGAATTGTTTATTCCAATTTGTTCTTAATGCTTTTAATTGCATGGCCACACAATTAAATTGATCTAGAAACCTAAACAAACTTGGAAAAGGGAGTTAGTGTAGACTAAAATTGGGATAGCATATGATCATATTAAGTGATTTGCCTATAGGATAGGGATATACCTATAGGCCATATGTAGCCAAATTAGAGCCTGAACTTAATGAGTTTGTTTTAATTTCAATTCACATAGGGATATATGTGTTTTGGTTAAAATAGATATTTTATAAGATGAGTTGGAGACCCTTATAAATAATTTAGGACTCTAGGTTAGCAATTCAAACCATTGAGATAAGTTAAGGAAGAGAGGTAAGATTTAGATGAAGTGTGAGGGATATTGTAATCCTGGCTTGTTTGATTTGATATTTATTTGAGTATTTATTATTTTGATTTTTCTATATTAATTCTGCTATAACTTAGTTTGATTTGATATTATTTGATATTGTTTGGATAAGATTAATTTGCAATAATTTTAGTACTTAGTAAACTTTTAGACAATTCCCTGTGGGATCATACTCTATTTGCTAATATACTTCTATTGATACGTATACTTGCGTAGTAGATTTTTAACTGACAAGTTTGGCGCCGTTGCCGGGAATTGTTTCTAGAATTTATACTAATACTAATACCAAGCAATTTAGTCTTACTTCAAATTTATTCTTGTTTTATATTTATAGATTTTGTTTGTTCGCCGATCTCTTTGGTCATTGCATGCAAAGAAGAAACAACTTGAATCTTGTTCCTTTTGATCCTGACATAGAAAGAACTTTTAGAAGACATCGAAGGGAGAATTTACAAGTTGCAACTTTAAATCAGACAATGGCTGAGGATAACAATAATAATGGCAATAATGCCATTAATTTGGTTCCCGAAGCAAATAGAGCACTACGGGATTATGCTGTTCCTCTTGTGCAAGGTTTGCACCAAAGCAGTAGGAGACCTTCCATCAATGCGAATAATTTCGAAATTAAGCCAGCTTACATTCAAATGATTCAGTCTTCAGTCCAGTTTAGTGGATTACCTAGTGATGATCCTAATTCTTATCTGGTGAATTTCCTAGAGATTTGTGACTTCAAGTACAATGGAGTAACTGATGATGCTATTAGATTGAGACTGTTTCCCTTTTCTCTGAGAGATAAAGCAAAAAGTTGGCTTAATTCATTGCCTAAGGGTCTATCACTACATGGGAGGACTTGGCACAAAAGTTTCTAGCAATTTTTTTCCACCTGCCAAGACTGCAAAGATGAGGAACGATATCACCTCATTCATACAATTTGATGGTGAGTCCTTGTATGAAGCCTGGGAGAGGTTTAAAGAACTACTGAGAAGATGTCCACATCATGGGATTCCTGATTGGTTGCAAGTTCAGACATTCTACAATGGGCTGGTTGGTCAATAAAAACCATAATTGATGTTGCTGCTGGTGGGGCATTAATGAGTAAGAATGCTGTAGATGCCTACAATTGTTGGAAGAGATGGCCTCCAATAATTATCAATGGCCTTCAGAAAGGTCCGGCTCGAGAAAAGCTGTTGGAGCTTATGAAATTGATGCACTCGGCACCTTAACTACTCAAGTAGCTGCGTTGTCCAAAAAGCTTGATACACTGGGAGTTCATGCAGTTCAAAATTCATTAGTTGTTTGTGAGATGTGTGGAGATAGTCATTCATATGATCAATGTCCATATAATTCCGAATCAGTCCAGTTCGTGGGGAATTTCAACAGGCAGCAAAATAACCCATACTCCAATACTTATAATCCTGGTTGGAGAAACCACCCCAACTTTTCATGGAGTAACAATGCAGGGCCTTCCAATCCAAAACCCATCATGCCTCCTGGTTTTCATCAACAAGCTAGACCACAAATTTCAGAAAAGAAGTCCCAATTGGAAGAACTCCTTTTGCAATATATATCCAAGACTGATGCAATAATTCAAAGTCAAGGAGCCTCCTTGAGAAATCTTGAGACCCAAGTGGGACAGCTCGCCAATTCCATCAACAATAGACCTCAAGGTTCCTTACCCAGTGACACACAAATCAATCCTAAAGGTAAGGAACAATGCCAAGCAATCACTTTAAGGAGTGGAAAAGAGATTGAAGGGGTGAATCAAAAAGCAGTTGAATCTGAGATTGAACATGTTGATAAGGAAGGAATGTGTGAGAATGAAATTGAAATTCAACAAAAAGATGATGACAAGGCTGAAAATAAAGGAACCTCTCAAGTCATCCATCCTCCACCACCTTTTCCCCAAAGACTTCAAAAGCAAAAGCTTGAAAAGCAATTTCAGAAGTTCCTCAATGTCTTCAAGAAATTACACATAAATATTCCTTTTGCTGAAGCTTTGGAACAAATGCCCGATTATGTCAAGTTCTTGAAGACATCCTCTCCAAAAGAGAAAGCTAGGTGAGTTTGAAAATGTCTTCCTTACAGAAGAGTGTAGTGCAATTCTCCAAAATAAACTGCCACCCAAACTCAAAGATCCAGGTAGTTTCACAATCCCTTGCACAATTGGTAATTTATTTTTTACAAAAGCTTTGAGTGATTTAGGTGCAAGTATCAATTTAATGCCTTGGTCAATTTTTGAGAAACTTGGTTTGGGGGAATGCAAACCCACTTCTGTTCTTTGCATTGGCTGATCGTTCTTATGTATACCCGAGGGAATTATGAAGATGTCTTGTCAAGGTAGATAAATTTATTTTTCCAGTTGATTTTTTAATTCTTGACATGGAAGAAGATAGGCAAATTCCAATCATCCGTGGAGGCCATTCTTAGCTACGCAGGCGCATTCATTGATGTGAGGGAAGGCAAAGATAAGTTTTAAAGTTGGAGAAGAGGTAGTAGTTAATATTTCAATGCAAGTAAACACCCTAGCTCTACAAATTATTGCGATAGAGTGGAGTTAATTGATGAAGGCAAAGGTGAACTTATTTCTCCACCTACAAGTGAGCAGGCACAACCTTTGAGTTTAGCCACCACCTCCACCCATGAGACCCAAGCAGTCACCAAAGGAGCATCCTCCAGCACATCTAATTGCCCTTTCGAGATTGGACAACAGTAATGATGCTTTCTCGATCATACTTCAAGCTTTCCATGGAAACACAAAGAAAGATGGTGGGGTCCTTTCAAAGTAGTAAAAGCATATCCTTGTGGAATAATAGAGATTGATAGTGAAGATACGGGCACATTCATGGTTAATGGGTTGAGCCTTAGACCATATTTCGAGGATGAAGAACTGCAAAAGGGGGTGCTATAGTCAAGCTAGTGACTATAAAGAAGCGCTTCTTGGGAGGCAACCCAAGATATTTTTTTTTCTAAGTTTAGTTGTTATTTTAGTTAGTTCTTGTTTTTTCTATTTAAATAAGTAGTTTTAATCTCTCCCTAGCTTGTTTGCTGTGATGCAGATTGGGAAAGCATAAAGATGAGGAGAAAGAAGATTAGAGCTTTCAAGAAACTACCACCATTGAAGAGGAAGTTTCTTTTTCTTATTCTTTTTAACTTTTCACATTGAGAACAATGTGCAATTTAAGTTTGGGGGAAGGTTTATTGTTATTAGTTTTTGTGATAGTTTATGTTAATTTATTTTCGTTATCTTTTCAACTAGATTTACTTGTGCCAGCTTCATTTAATTTACCTATCCAATGATGAGAAATCAGTTATATTCCTATCTTGATTCTTCAAAACACGTGAATATTGTTTGAGTGTTATGTAAATTCTCATGCTAAGCTTTGCCATTAGGTTGAAATTTCTACATTTTGAGCACTATGTCTTTTCTTAGATTTATTGTATATATTTAGAAAAGGTTTATGTGAATGCAAATTTTTGAATTATATATTAAGTTCTAGAATTTGTTGATTCTCTCTCGAGGTGAAATCCTAGGCTATACTTAGTTAAGGAAATGATTTTGGCCATTGTTGGACCGATTGAGCCTTTTGTAGCCTTCCTTTACATAAATTATCCTCAGTTTCCCCCTTTGAGCCTAATGACATCTTTCTTTGTTTGAACACTTAATTTTTAGCTAGACCCTTATAATAATATTTGCAATAATTCTTACATCCCTCATTCCTAAGTGCATAAGTCAATTATAATGTGTTATGAGCCACATAGTGAAAGAGGTAGTCAAGACAAAAAAAAAAAAAAACGATGAAAAGTTCAAAAATATGATTGTACTCATCTCATTGCCCAATAAAAGAATAAGTTTGGGGTATGAAATTGAGAAAAGAAAAAGGGAAAGAAAGAAGAAGTGTTGAACAAAAGAAAAACTTTGATGGAGAAGGGGTATACTAAGTGAAGGAAAATAAAGCTCTGAATGGCATCCAGATTGATTATGTGCTTAGGGTGATTTGAGCTATACATTATCCCATATCCAACCTTAACCCTAGCCATACATTACAAGCTAATTAAAGTCCTATTGATCTTTAACATAGTGTTAGCCTACATTAGTGGAGAGAGGGATGAAAAGCAAACTTATGGAGTTAATTATTAATTTGAATTTTGCATGAATATAAATTTATCCAGATTGTACAATATTCTAAGTGAAGAGATGACACACACACACGGAATTTAACTTAATGATGAGTTTGCATTTGAATTGAGACATGAACTTGAATAATATTTATGTGTTGCCTAGAGTTATGAATATGGATTAACTATTGAGGATATTAAAAGTAATTAATGAAATGGTGCAATTGAAGTCTAATTAAATGTTTTCATGTTTACGTTATTGCATGTTGTTTTATGTTTTGCTCGAGGACTAGCAAAATCTTAAGTTTGGGGGTGTGATAACTCTATTATATAGAGTTATTTTGACTCATTTTGGGAGCTTAAGTAGCTAGATCTTTGAGATTTTATGTTCGAATTTTAGCATTATAGGTGTTTTTTTTAGTTTAAGTTTGATTATTTGTTAAGTGATTAATTTAAGTTATTTTAGTTAAATTTTAGGTTATTTTATTTTAAATTACTTTAAGAGTAGTTATTGCTAATTTCTCCTATGGCTTTTGTAGGAAATTGATGAAAAAGACTCATTTGATGAAAATCAGTGCAAGTATGGTGATAGCTTCATTCGTATATGTTTCAATATTTTGACCATATCTCTTTCTAAAAAACTCCAAATGAGGTGATTCTTTGACCAATCAAAATTAAAGAAGAAGGGAAACAATTTTTATGTTCACCAATTGGCCCAGTTATGATGGATCATGGTCAAAATATTTGTCAATTCGGACCACTGCAGCAGGATGTAAAGACTGAACATGATGCAGTATTTGGAGCAAATCTTTCAATCCAGAAGTCCAATTGATGCGATTTTAATCCACTGGAAAGTAAGAGAACAGGGATAAAACTTTATGTTTACTACTTTGCCCAGTTCTTAACATATCAGGGTGAAACTCATGTTTGAAGTTGATAGACTGCCACAGCGCTGGGAGAACAAGGCTGCAGCGTTGAGGAAGAAAGCACACATACAAAATTCCAGAGAGCTCAGCGCTGCAGCGCTGGAGAAGTAGCGCCGCAGCGCTGCGCGACTTCCCTCAAAAAATAAAGGACATTAACGGAATTCACAAAATAGTTATTTGGAGCCTATTTAAGGAGACTTTTTCAGAGATTTTTGAGGCAGTAAGAGAGGCAGCAAGGGAGGCAGCAAGAAACTTTTCTGGAGATTTGGAACCAAGAACAAAGCAAGGAAACAAGAGAATTGGAGAGAGAATCAAGATCATAAATCTCTAATTATAGTTTTTTCTCTTACCTTGTGTTTTTTCTTATTTTCTTTGACTTGGATTCATGGCTAAATTTCTTTGGATATTGTCTTTATTAGATATTATGAACTAATTTATTTTTCTAGGATTGCAATGAACTCACATGTAATCAGATTTTAATCACTTTCTTGCTTATTTTCAATGGGATTTGAATTGTTTATTCCAATTTGTTCTTAATGCTTTAATTGCATGGCCATCAATTAAATTGATCTAGAAACCTAAACAAACTTGGGAAAGGGAGTTTAGTGTAGACTAAAATTGGGATAGCAATAGATCATATAAGTGATTTGCCTATAGGATAGGGATATACCTATAGGCCATATGTAGCCAAATTAGAGCCTGAACTTAATGAGTTTGTTTTAATTTCAATTCACATAGGGATATGTGTTTTGGTTAAAATAGATATTTTTATAAGATGAGTAGGAGACCCTTATAAATAATAGGACTCTAGGTTAGCAATTCAAACCATTGAGATAAGTTAAGGAAGAGAGGTAAGATTTAGATGAAGTGTGAGGGATATTGTAATCCTAGGCTTGTTGATTTGATATTATTTGAGTATTTTTATTATTTTGATTTTTTAATTTAATTCTGCTATAACTTAGTTTGATTTGATATTATTTTGAATTGTTTGGATAAGATAATTTGGCAATAATTTTAGTACTTAGTAAACTTTTAGATCAATTCCCTGTGGGATCGATACTCTACTTGCTAATATACTGCTATTCGATACGTAAACTTGCGTAGTAGAATTTTAACTGACAGTCCCCCATTAGCCTTAAATCGGCAATGTACAGTCCCGTTGCACCTTGGACATTTATGATGTGTCATATGAGTGAATTCGTCACTTCCACCTCGTGAGAGTGGAATCAATCGCACTCTTTGAGTTCTTATACTTATAGCATGTGGCATGTGGAATGTCCTTCACATACATGTTTACTCATCTCCT